CTCGTTCAAGGTGCCGGGTCGCGTGGGCGACGGGCCCATCGTCGGGTCTGGGTCGTACGTGGACAACGACGTCGGGGCCTGCGGCGCCACGGGCGACGGCGACATTATGATGCGGTTCTTGCCGTGCTACCAGGCTGTCGAGAGCATGCGCAACGGCATGGCGCCGACAGAGGCGGCCGAGAATGCTGTGCGTAGGATGGTGCGCAAATACCCGGCTGTGGCCAGCGGTATCGTCGTCGTTGATAAGGACGGAAACCATGGCGCCGCGGCGTCGGGCTGGGGCGGCACGTTTGCATATGCGTATCGTGGAGGCAGCATGAACGCCACCGTTGTTGTTGAGGTGCCGAATCTGTGTGTTGGTCGGCTCATGTCGCAGCCTTGATGGTGTTGGAACTGTGATGGTTGCTCATGTGCTAGGAATGATAAGAACGCTCATGAATCAACTTGGTTCACGGTCCGCTGTGAACCGTGAATAGGAAAGTTGAACCTCGTAGACGTCAGATGTCGACCCTGCGACAAGAGTTTCTGCCCATCATCGTGGAGTTGTAGCCATAACTGCGTGTACTAGCGATCGGGGTGAAGGGCACTGCCAGAGGAGTCACGAAGCTGTTCTGTCCAAACTGAGCAGAACAACACATGTTTAACCAGACATTCCGTGTTTCACACAAGCCTTGGAATGACCAAGTGGTTCGAGCTAATGATGTGCGTACGCTCACTCGTGATGTCGGTGAATATTGAGGATCCTGGCTGGGTCGTGCGACAAGCTCTTCGGCCTCGTAAATGATATAGATAAACTAAAAGCTCAAACAATGTTGAGGCGCAGAACATCAAACGCTTGAAATCACAGCTTCATTCGACCAAGCTATTTGACCAGGCTATTCGATCAGGCTATTCGACCAGCTGTCCCCATCACTCCAGCAACACACGGCCCAGCAAGTTCCCCAGACAACATCACCAAGCCTGTCCGCTCCAGATCAACACCGTTCAAACACGCGATACAGTCCCTTCAAATCTGCGACCTCCAGCACGCCGCCTTTCATCAGTGGCGTCGTTGCCACCAAGCGTGCTTTAAATGCGGGAAAGAAAATATGCTCAATCGCCCATCGAATGTTCTTGCGCCTCGTGGTCACCTCTGCAGTCTCGCTGCTGTCTGCACGCCCTTTGCGCGGGGGCAGTTTTTCCGGCACGTAGAATGACGCGAGCTCCCGGAGAAACGTCTCGAAACACGCCGTCTCGCTCGTCCAATCGACATACGGGCCCAGTCGGAGGAGGAACCGCGGCAGCTTCACCAGCGGTGGCGTGTAGCCCTTGATGAGCAGCGGCATCGTTCTGAGCTCGCCTGACGGTGTAATCTCGAGCGAGAAGTACTCGAGCAGCATCTCTCGGCGCTCGATCAATTGCTCTGCCACGCGTCTGACAACATCCTCCACCTCGAAATCGTCTTCAGGTGATTGGACCTCTGCCTTCTCCTGGCGTGCGGCGATCCGCAGCAGCTCCTTGAGTTCTAACGGCGGACTAAAGCGTATGGAGCCAAAGTTGCCAAAGTCGGTCAGGCCAATCTGGTAGCAGTACTCAAAGCAGGCGAAGCCGTAATCGATCAGATACAGCTTGACCCCGCCTTGAACGGCCGCCAGCCTCCGCTGTTCATCAACAATTCCGACAAACGTATGGCCGGCAAACACCTCGGTCAGGTCGTGATGCATATCGTCTCGGACGGCAGCTCGAAGCTCCTTGATGCTGCTGAGACGACAAACCGTGGACTCCTTGTCCACTGTTGCGTACTGGATGTTCTCGGGCGCAGCGAGGACATCGTCATCTCCCGCTCCCGTGTTGTTTTCGTCCTGATCAGTTGCGGGTACTGCAGTGAACATGCTTGTGATCTTGCGGAGGGATGTATCGGTTCGTACGAGGTTCTTAGAATTTCTACGCGGCCGACTGGATCCCGATGTGGCCGCCAGTGGAGGAGCGCCATCACCGTCTTCAACAGCTGATTTTGACGCCGCGTCGGTCCACTGTGCGCCCGGCAGCAAGGTCTGGGTCATGAAAGTTCGGCTGGTGTCTACTTCCGCTAGCTTGGTACGAACCTGCTCACACACGACCTGAATGATCTCGTCTTCGTTCAAAAAGTGCACCTCGCGTTTTGTGGGTGAACGTTGACGTCGACACGGGCCGGGTCAATCTCCAGGCTCAGGTAGATAAAGGGGCGACCGTTCTTGGGAAGGAAAGTGGCATATACCTGCTCAATGGCCTTTCTGATGGTCGTCGACTCCACACAGCGATGGTTGATGAAGAGCAGGAACGTCGTCTTTTTGATGTGATAGTTGGCATTCGTCACCAGGCCGTCGGCCTTGAAAGCCCAACGATCGTCGGACGTTGCAAATTCAATCAGCTCGTTGCCAACACTGGAACCATAGATCTGCCGCACGCGATCAGTCGTCGAGGCGCTCGCCTGCACGGAGACGCTCGCGCCCGACTCGCCCTGCTTCTTGCAAGAAAAGGCGACGCCCTGACAGTGTATGGCGTAGCGGCCGACCATGTCGATGATCTTGTTGTACTCCTCAGACGGTGAGCGGAAAGCACGCCGCCGTGTCGGTATGTTGAAAAAGAGGTCCTCGACACTGATCTGCGTTCCGTCGCGGCCGGCGACCTTCTTAGGCTCAGCCGACTGGCCCGGTTTCGCCGGCGCGAGTTTTCCATCGAGGAAGTGGGCGCGCCAGGCGACCGCTGAATCTTTCGTCTTGGTGGTGACAGACAAATGGGCAATGTGGCTGATGCTGGCAAGCGCTTCGCCCCGAAAGCTGTAGTCGCGATGGACGTGAGGTCTCGAAGGACGGTAAATCTTTGGATGTTGGTGTGGCGTTCGCAGGAGATTGGGCAGATCATCTTTTCTAGGCTCTGTTAGTGAGGCGGCCATGGGAACATGCGGTGAAAATGTACTCTTGGATGGCCGCCTGCCATTTGTCTGTATCCTGCACAATCTTTGAGACCTCCTTTCTTGACAAGGCACCTCGAGTGACGTGGACCCTGCGTCTACGGCGTTCTC